ATAAGATCAATGTTTTCACGTATACGCTAATTTGCAGAAATTGCCTAACAAAAACAAAACAAAAATAATCATGTTTCATGTTTCTTTGAATGCATTCTAATTAATTATTCATAAACAAAGGAAAAAAGGAATATATTTGGTTTAGGGAGTATTAAGCACGTATGTACTTCTATGGTAATAAAATCAAATTACGATTTTTTTAGTATACAGAAAAAGCATCTTTGTAGTAGATTACTTTTATTTTTAGAATACTTAACCAATTTGGATATGATTTCTATCACGTAATTTGTTGAGATTTTATTTTTACTGCGGACTTTGTTTTTATGATTTTATAATCATAAGAATCATTGTACTAATGTTAAGATTTTCTTGAGAATACTGTATTTCTAAATTAGAGGTGCAAAAACTTTACGTAATAAGTTGTAACTAGTTCGTAACTTAATTACCTCAATATAAAAAAATGATTTTTTATGTAAATTACGACCTATTAAGTAAATATAAAAGACGTACGTAGATTGCAGATGGTGTGACCATACTATTGTTTGTATATTCATACAGTAAAAAATTGTTCCGTAAAGTAGCATATAAACTTGCAAAATATGTTTTCTAAAGCAATTTAAACTGTTGGGGTCGATATATCTAAAAAAGTTATAACCTCCGTGAAAAGAAATCGAAGTCAATTCGGATTCATTACTTCTCAACATCTCATCATAAATATGAATAAGCAAGTTGATAAACCAGAATGAAGCAAAATTTAGCTAGAATAGATATTCTTAGATGCATCGGTTAAAATTTATTAATCCATATTATATGGATTAATTTTTCAATTACGTTGTATTAAATTGTTGTGTAGTACCGTTACGCGTAACTCGTTTCGTATTGATAACCCTTACACATGCATACTACACATTTGCTTAAGACATAATTATAATGTCTAAAATTCTATAAAAATGCTGAATTTTTTACTTTTCAAAAACAAGAATTTTTAGACAAGTTCTTTTTATAATAATAATAATAATAATAATAATAATAATAATAATAATAATAGTAATCATAATAAAGCATTTCTTTTATTATGAACCAAAATACAAATCAAGCGATTAGAGGTCAACCTCCAAGGCCTCAAAACACTGCTATTCACACAAATCTATCTTACGATAACCTTACTGCTGGCCAAAAATATGAAAGTTTAACAGAAGGTACAAATCCGTTTGTCAGTACACCAGAAACAACGAATCAGGAAGCACTTCCATTCCCGGCCTTCATTTTATCAGGATCTCCTTTTCAATAAGCAAAATTACGGCCTTTTTCGAAGAAATATGTTTAAATGCGTTTATAATCTCCAGATATGCATCTTTTGTATTATAACAATTGATGAATTATAGCCTAAGGTTTAAAAATATATATATATGTATATATAAATCCCTTCGTTTCCTTCGGCATAATTCACATTATGGAATTTCTCTATCATCTTTTACATTACACAATAAAAGTATTATGTATATACTTGTAAAAAAATATGTATATCATATGAAAATTGATTGTTAATAAAATTTTAATTTCTGGATCTTGTTGAATATTTACAATCACATGATTTTCCTAAAAACTATAAAAACTTTTCTATGAAAGTTTACCGATCATTTTTTTAAAATATCGCTTATATAAAACGTACCTTGTTCTTGTCGGAAGGTTACTTCGATATATATAAACCCTAAATTTTGAAGCAGAAAAGCATAATATAAGCATAATATAAACGAACGAACCTTCTTTTAGATGTATGTCTAAATATATTTTTGTGACAATAAGATTAGTATATTAATTCTGAAAAAAACTGACATTTATTAGCGAAGTTCATTTAAATTATTCTTAACAACGTTATTTATACCAAAAGAGGACGAAATACTCACTAAAAAACTTACAAAATACCCGCGAATATCTTGTTCGGTGACGGGTATATTGTATCGAGGGTATTTTGTATATGTTATAAGTGGGAACGGAATTTAAGTAGATTTGAAATTTCTTGTCGGGGATGATGCTGAAATTTTGATTTACTTTATTATGAAAATTAAAATTTTTTTTGGATGTTTTTTCAGCTTTTTTTTATAGTTAGATTAGAATTTAGGGTCAGTGTTTATAATAAAAGGGTATAGGTGGATTTTAGTAGGGTTTATATTTTCAAATTAAGGCCCCAAATTTCAGCATCATCCTCGACATTTCTTAATAAAACTATAATTTTAGGGTATAATTTATTGGCTGTAGCTGAGGAGAGTGAAGCGAAAGCCTTCAAGCTATACCCTACGAATTTTTGGCTGGAACTGAGGAGAGTGAAGCGAAAGCCTTCAAACTATACTCTACGAATTTTCGGAAATGTCCGGTTCCCGGTTACATTGATCCAAATTTTAGGTCGTGTATCCAGAAATTGAACCTAAATCGGGTTCAACGTTTGGATACCGAATTCTTGGTTTAAAATATAGTAGCTGACTTTTAATAGAATACTGACTTTTAATAAATTGTACATAAAATTAGGGATGGGCAAAGTAATTTATTAAGTAATAATTACTTATGATTTATCCTTTATCAAATATTATGTAATTATTACATTACTATTACTTATTACGTATAACGTATATACGTATAGATGAATCATACGGCAAATCGATTAAAAAACTTTCGAAGCTATTGTATAATAAAAATTACATTTGCTGCTAAAAATAGAAACAGCGTAAGCATCACTTATTATTACTTAATGCAAAAAATCTTGTGTAATATTTAGTAAAATTAAGTAAGAATACGTAGTTTTATAGCCCATCCCTACATAAAATATAGCAGCTGACTTTCAATCATTTACACGTAAAATATAGTAGCTGACTTTTAATAGAATATACTGACTTTTAATAAAAAAAAGAATTTATATTGTCATAAATATGTCATCGCATCGTAAGTAAGCATATTTAATAAGTAAAAGGAAACATTGTAATCTTCTCTTTTTAGTTTAGTTAAAATGGAAAAGCAAAAAGAACTTACATACCTAAACAAAAAATGAAACTTGAAGAAAACGAAAAAAAGTTTAATGACTGAGATAGGCTCGCCACATCAATTAACATCTCAAATCGATAATATTAAAGCAAAAGAGAACATAAATCAAAACGAACAATCAAATGAGGAAGTAGCCTAAATAAAAATATTATGTTTAAATCAAAGTTGGAATGAAATAATTAAGTCTACGATGTAATAAATTATCTTAGAAACAAAATATCACCCGCATGTCAACTTACTGATGATGATCGCGACTTCTCAGAAAGTTTCGAGATGCTGTCGCAGATCTTAAGCATAATTATTGCCTGGAGCTGAGTGAAAGCCTTTCAAGCCTTACTCTACTGAATTTTCGCTCTCGCTTCACCCTGACCCAAATTTTAAGCTCAATGACCAGAATCGAATCTAAGTTAGGTTCAGCGTTTGGATACCTGAATTTTGAGTTATGGCTAACTTTAATAGAATATATAACTGACTTTTAATAAAAGAATAGTCATACTCTACGAATTCTAGGAATGTCCGTCACTCTGGCCAAAATTTTAGGCTCAACGTTTGAATACTTGAATCTTGAGTTAAAATATTCTGGGCAGTTGGGTACATATAAGCGAAATTTTGTAGTAAAGTATAATCGGCCACGTAAGCGGCCGATTATACTTTATTACAAAATTCCGCTTATATCAACTACATAGAATGTAACTAACTTTCGTATACTTATTTCAGAGTGAAACCTTTATTTTATTTAAGATTAAATCACCTAAATTAAATAGATACATGTTTAATAAAAATAAGACATGAAAAAGTTATGTAGATGGGATACTTTTTGGCTGGAGGTTCAATATTCAGAAATTGAACCAAAATTAGGCTCAATGTTTGAATATCGAAATCTTGATTTAAATACGATAACTAACTTTAACCGTATATTAACTAACTTCTAATAAATGCCACCTTAATTGCAATTCTGATTAAAATGAATAAATATACGGATCATAACCATATTGTACTTGGGAAGAAAAATAAAGAACTTGCTCTCGCATGCAATTTCTTTTATGTCTTGCTTGGGCAACTACAATTTATAAGTTTTGACACTGCAATAAATCTTAGAATTCGCAATTGATATTATATTTGTAGATGAATCAAGAATTTGCACATTTGCTGACGTCCTTTTTAATGGTTCTTTTTCTTTTGACGACAGATTACAAATATTATGGCAAATATACATTTACAACAAGAATAATAAAACAAAATTACTTTTATTATAAATTTAGTATAGATGTAATCCTATAAGTAATATATAGCAATTTAAATACTGTACTATATATTTTAAATTTAATTCAAGTCTAAGACTTAATAACTAGAGCTCCAGCCCACAAAACGTCGCCGTTTTTCTAATTTTACATAAACCTACACCCTAACCCTAAAATCCTAAATCAATTTAAATTCCATTCCCACTTACAACATATATGTAAGACCACGCAAAATTTAAATTTTCGGTTTGCATCTGAAATTTGGGTCGGTCGATCGGTCTTTTTTACCATCGAATAATCCCGGCTTCATCGGGCGGCACGGATAAAATGACGGAAAAAAATAAATGGCAAAAATAGAACAATTGTCACAATTAAATTTTTTTTTTTTAAAAAAATTTTTCTGAAAATTTAAAAAAAACAGGTCGGTCGGATTATGCAAAACGAAAAATCAATTTTCAAGAATCAATATGTGGTGATGTGAAAAATGCTATGCAAAGCACCGAATATTATCCCTAGTTAAAAAAATATGCCACGTAAAACATCCGGGTATTTTAACTGGGTACTGAAAAATGGGGTCTTTTAGTTAGCACACTACAATATTACAGTATTACGTGATTAAAGAATTATACTTATTGCGTGAAGTAGAATTTTCTTTTTAACAATTTGGAGTTCTTTTGCGATTTAGAAATGTGCGTTTAAAGTAGAGTTTGGAACCAGTTTTATTTTTCATGCGCAAATAAAACCGGTTCCAAACTCTAGTTTACAGCTGTTCTCAAATTCTGGGACAACTGATAAAATTATTTCAGCCGAATTCGATAAATTCGAAAACCTATCGAATGATCGGTCGATTTTTATCGTTGTCCGAAAACAACCGTAAAGCCCTATAAGTATTTTGATTTATCTAAATTAAATAATCAATTCATACGTAGCGATAGAACTACATTAGCGCATCACCGAATTTGGTTATTAATTCCGTTGCACAACTTTCTACCTAAA